AGAGGAATTTCAAAATGTTGGGGAAGCGGTCTTCAGCCCTCACTCTCTGTGGCTCTGTCACTGAATGTAGGTATGGAACTCGAGGTCTCATAATAGTTTTGAATGATACAATAATAACCGTAGTATTTCAATTCGTATTTATTGAACTGGGAGTTAGACCATGTATAGGGCTTGTTTGAGTCCTATTTTTTTCAAAAAATAAATTTTGTAATAGTTTTATGATGGAAAATATGTGGTTAAAAATGAGTAATGTTATGTATCATGATGATGAAATATAGGTGATGTGATAATTCATTATTTCTCACATTTTTCTCTCATTCATCCCCCATCTTTCTCAGAAAATTGAATTATCCAATCTCATTATTCCACATAGGGCGTGTTCGGTAGAGATTAAAATCGGATTAAAATTGAAAAATTAGTGGTTATTGTTGACTTTTATTAGATGAGTGTGACCCAATAACGACTATATTTTCAATTTTAATTGGATTTTAAACACTACCAAACATGCTCATAAACTGTCACATCACTGATATTTTATCATCATGATGATAAATAGCATTATAGTAAAAAAATAAGGAAAAATTTTGGATTTGCGTGTAATATTTTTTATTGAAAAATATATAGTTGAAATAAGGTCAAATCACCGTTCAAGAATACATTTTGATAAAAAAAAAATGGGGCTCAAACAAGGGCATAGTTTCAAGGTTTTAACCTACTAGCTATTCGAGTTAGACATTATTGATTTAACATTACTATTTGGGCCACATTTTAATCTAAGTCAAAGTTAAACAATCAATATCAACCACATCTTTCATGGATTCCACATTTTTCCATCCACATATTTCAAAACTTTCTATCACATTCCACTTAAAATCTGATTTTAATCTATACCAAACACCTTCTAAGTTATTTCATTAAATAATAGGAGAAGAAAATAAGCAGCCAACTTGCTGCTTCCCCTTACTATTAGTTTGACTCGAGACTCCATTTTTCTGCGCACATTACTTTTCTGTACTTTACAGAATAAATAATGTTATTTAACATCAATGACAATGAAAGACCAATCTATGTGATTATATTTTATAAGTTAATTAAATAAGTCGCGTGACTTTGTATTTAAATGAAGAGTTACTTTGTTACAACACTAATTTATGTAGTATTAAATGTCATTAGATGAAAGGTACAATTCAATGCATCATATAATTAACTTTACCTTCAATTGAACATGTCACACAATGCTACATAGATCGGTGCTAAATAGCATTATTCTTAAATAAATATTTCATTTAATGCAATCTAATTGTCACATAATTTGACATTTTATATCAGTGGTGATGAATAATATTACTTAATTTAAAATATATAAAAAA